CTTGATCACGATCATTGGACAAATGTAGGATGGTCAAGAGTGATATGCAGAAGGTGACGATACACTGCAAAGCGCGGAGAGAGACCAGAAAATGACGGGCGAGAGAGCACAACGGCATTAGTACGACGACACGGGCAAGGTAGGCCGGCATGGGCCTCCTTGGGCCTAAAATCGAAGTTTACTGTGCTTTGCGTGCCATTTTGCAAGTTTTGAATGCAGTGCAACCTCTACAATCGCCTACCGGATCATCTGACACATTTAAGAGGTTATAGCCTTAGTTTATCGCGGAAAAAGCTTTAATGTTACGTGTGAGGACATGCCACGATCTCACATGAGGCCTCATGGCATTTCGTTGACGTGAGAGGTGAAAGGACCTCCAGAGTGGGTGTAATACATTTCAGAATCGAAGCTTATTCTTTGGGCACAGCAGGAATCTCTATACCCCCGCCCCAGCACTAATGCCTTCGAACATCAGAAAGTGAAAGAGATGGCGTCGAAAGAGAGCATACTGTAAGACATGATCTTGTCACTGACATGGTGCGAGGCCATAATCAACGTCGTATAAGGTCCTAACAAACAATGGGGTACGGTGACTAGCGTCCTCCTATACCGCGTCAAGTTCATACAGCTCATATAGTACTAGATATTTATAAAACATTGCTTCACTGACCCGTACTGTACACCGGCTTGTTGCTGTGGTTGTTGTGGTATATTTTGTCGCAATTGATGATGTGCTGGATTTGGTATAACATTCTGCGGATTGTAGTAGCTCTGACCAACACCGGGAGGTAGAGGAACAGGCATGCCAGCAGGGATTTGTTGAGGGTTCACATGAGACATGGATGGCATAGTCATGGCTGGTGGAGGCCGTGTCGTGTCAATATACGGAACCATCGACTGAAAAGAAAAGCTAAAAAACAATCGCGGCCGGAAAACTGGAAAAAAACAGAAGTATGTCATAAAAATTCACGAGTGTTTTCCAACGAGCTTCCGCAAAGGGGTCTCATTCCGAGCAACTTGCAGCTCACCCTGTTCAAATTCAGAACGAATTCATCATTCAAAACACTTCCCAGTCGCATAGCAACGTCAAAGAGGTAAAGAATGGTCATAAAGACCTCCCAGTGCGATCTGCACTCTTAACGAGTTCGCCGATTCCGAGAGCGCGTTCATACTTCGGGATCCGATCGTTTTGTTCAAGCGACCGGAGACTTGAGCGTTCAGATCGCGCGATCGGATGGCTTGCGCGTTTGGATCGCGTAATCGGATTGCGCGACCATGACCGGGCGTACCACCGCCAATCTGTGGACCGCCGCAACGGCAAAATTCATGATGAGTCGTCTTCCCAAAGGGTATGAACGCGAGCCAATTGTATTCTGCCGTTTCGGCGATCCACCGATTGGCGGAGGAGTGCCCCGGTTGCGGTCGCGCAATCCAATCGCGCGATTCGAGCTATCCGATCGGGAACAGTGAACGCGTTTTAACGCAAGAAGTACAAAAAGCAGGCAACCTAAGGCAGAGCGTAACTCGCATCCCAACCTTCTGCATCTCTAGGACCTTTTTTCCTCCAGTGCACTGTCAATTCCTGCAAACGATAGGGCGTGTGATGGAATGTGGATTGGAGCGCAGCCAGGGCAGTATGCCATCAATCGGTGCGAGAGACCGCCGTGGCTGCATTCCAATCCACGCCCCCCCCACGCCACGCCTCTCATTTGCAGGGACAATGAACAGAACTTGCTCGAACTTTGACGCCCTTCGCAACGCCGCAAAAAAATGATTAACAATAGCAGTTCTGGGACCAGAATGATGCAAACTTATTTTTAGACATATCACCCTGTTTGACATCAAATCGAGAAACGAGATGCCAATAGCCAAGGAATGGTCCCAACTTGCGAAAACAGTAAAAAAGGATCTCGGTCTCACCTGCTTTGCACCCATCGCCATAGTGTACGGTATGTGCTGCTGAGGTTGAGCGATAACGTACTGCGAATAAGCGTTTATAGTCTGCGCTGTTTGGGGCGCTGTGACTACGCCACTTTGCTGCTGACCAATCACACCAACTTGTTGACTTCTTCCTTGCTGTGCAATCGGATTCACTTGCTGAACTGGCATGCCTAACGGTGGCGATGACATCGTTAAGAGAGATGTTGGCTTTTGTTGTGAAGACTGCTGCGTCGGAGCTATTGGAGCAGGAACTGCAGAAGTGGGAGCGACACCTTGTACAGAACCCATCGATGACATCATAAGGGGTCCTCCCATTCCTCCATCAAGAGGTGGACCACTCATCGTTCCAGCAAGGGGCAGATCAGTGAAGCGAGGTACTCGGATCTGCTCCGGTGATTTGCACCTGAACGACTGGGAGAATGTTACTGTGAAATTATTAGATACAAATCTACGGATCTAAAGCATAACACAAACTCAATTTTACAGTATTCATTGTACGGTCCATGATTTAGCCTTCAAAACAATGCATATGGGATATATCATGAATACCTCATAAAGGGTCTAACTACGCCTATTTAATCTACGAAGAGTGCGTTAATACTTTGCGGTAGCATTTCAAGCGTCTGTCAGCCTTATGAGCGCATCGCGCGTTTTGAGCGACATATCAACTACCGCTGTGAACGCAGGCGAACGCAGCGCTGGATCGATACCTATACTTTGCTAGTCGCACAAAACTCTGATAGATGCTCAAAACGCTGGTGGGGGCCCAAAACGCTGACAGACGCTCGAAACGCTGGATCCATATACCCATACTTTCCTAGTTACTCAAAACGCTAGCGGACGCTCAAAAGGCTGGATCGATACCTAAGTTTCCTAATCGTTCAAAACGCTGGTGAGCAGCCAAAACGCTGACGCTCGAAAATCTCAAGACGCTAGCCGACGCCCAAAAGGCTGCCGCAAAGTATGAATGCCGTCTAAAAAACACTTACCTACTGACAATAGCGACATTCTGAGCGTTTTGCGTATTGTCAGGCTTGTACTCTGGCCCCATAATTCGATCTCGCGCTTTGACATACAAAGCTTCTTTTTGCTGCAAAATATCTCGTGCAGTTAAAGAAGACTCTCATCAAAAAAAGAACTCACTTCAGGAGTCAACTGATTTTTCGCTGCTTCTTCGGCCTTGGCACGTTGCGCTTGATACTTCTCTTCCCGTATTTTGTCACTACTTTCGGGACGCCGAAGAATTCTGACCGGAGCAGGTGGAGCCCCTCCCGGACCGGCAGGTAGGACGGATGGCGTAGGAATAAGACTCGGACTAAAAGTGGATGCTGCCAGGTTACCTTGAAGGTATGAAGGTAATCACAGGAATAACTCACTTCAGTCTCGCTTCCTCTTGGCATTTCGCTGCTTTCTCCTTGCGAGCCTCTTTATCCGCCTGTGCCCTTTGCAGAATGCGAATCTAAAATCGCTCAGGTCAATCGTTTGAACTCTCTTCATGTAAACGTCAAGTATTCATCAGTACCAGTACCCCCTGTCAGCAATGTAATTTCTATGA